GCAAGGGCCTCCTCCCTACCATGGCACTTCCATTCCTTGACCTACTGCACTTGTGAGGGCTACGTCCCGAGACATCTGGGGTTTCATTGTGGGGCACGTGCTTAGAGCAGAAATGTGACCACAGGTGAAGACTGGCTTGTTGATCATTAGAGGACAGTCAGAAGGCTTCAGTTGTAACACTCAGTTCTTACCAAAATGTTCTGTTTTCTTGGGCAGTTAACTGATGCCACCCATGTGTTCTTTGGGATTATGGCAAGACTGTCAATATGGTTAATGTTCTTGTTCAGTTCCTAAAGTGGTCTGGGCTAGTAGCAGACTAGATTAGAAACCGCTTCGTTGTTGACTGTCAGAGAAAAGGACACAGGGGTGGAAGATGACTGAAGTTCTCTTGTAGTGGAAGGAGAACAGTTAGCGCTGACAGGTCTGAAAACCAGATTCTCTTGTTTCTCACCAGTGTATTTGCTTTTCTGTGACCTTCTGCCAGTTTCTGTGTGCTTTTCCAGGGTGCTTACCATCCTCCTGTGTACTTTTTCAGGTACCCAACAAAATAAGCCCAGTCAGGCTGTTGTGGGTGGCCCGGGTCACGGCATATAGGATCGGGGTCCTGCCTACAGCTGCTTGGTTCTGCTGTGTCTGTGGCTGAGGGTTGCTCTGCCAGCGTGTGCATGCTTGAATGTGCGCAGCTGTCCTGTTCCTGGTCTACCCCATGTTAAGCTAACACTCCCTCCTATTGAGGTGTTTTCTTTTTGTCTTTGAATGTCTCCAGCAGCCAATGCCTTGTTAGCCTTTCATTGCACTGAACTAGGGGGAAGAACGTCTGTTTTTTTCTTTCTTCTTTTTTTAACAGAAGAAGAAACACAGGAAGCATAAACACAAAGGCAAACAAAAGAATAAGAAGTCAGAGAAAAGTAGTAGTTCTGAGGGGACCGAGAGCAGCGACAGCGGGAGTGATGAAGAGGGGACCGCAGACGTGTCGCCCCAGGAGCTCCTGAGAAGGTGGGCAATGGGGCAGTGGGTTTGCAGAAGCCTTTCAGAGGTTCATGGAAATCTTGATGTATTTGTCTAGAAGCAAGTGTCAGAAATGACAAGTTTGTATTTTAACTAGACCTTTTAAAAACATTGTTAATTTTTAATTACTTAAGTAATATGTGAACGTATTTTCACTGTGAAAATTCAAGCCTCACGGATATTTAAAGTACCCCTTGTCCATTTCCCCAGACCTCTCCTTTTTCCAGACTAACCTCTTCTATCAGTTTCTTATGTAAAAGAACTTTTTTTGTGCAACCACACACACATACATTCACACACAAATAGACACACATTTTGGTATGCATTTTTAATATAAATAATATAATTTTATGTAGCATAAATTTGCAGGGTATGAACATTTAGAAAGAATAAGTTTCGCCAAATCGCTTTCCAAAAGCAACCACATCCATTTAAATTATGAAAGCCCTTTGTTACCACATCACTTGTTATTACAAACTATTTGCCAGTCTGGGGAGTAAAAAAATGGCATTTGTTTTCAGTTTGCATTTCCCTGATTGCTAATGAGGTTGAGGAGCCCTGGTGGCACAGTCAGTAGTTCGAATCCATCAGCTGCTGCTTAGAAACCCAAAGGGGCAGTTCTGCTTTGTCCTGTAGGGTCGCTGTGAGTTGGAATGGACTCGATGGCAGCGGGATGGGTTGGGTTTGGTTTTTAATGAGGTGGAGGATCTTTTTTCCTGTGTGTCTCAGCCTTTGCTGTGTACTCTTCTGTGAACAGCCTGCTCATGTCCTTTGCTTGTTTTTGTTTTCTGTTGGGTTATTTTACTGTTTTACTGATTTTTAGGTTAATTCTTAAAAATTAAGAAAATAATTCTGTACGTTAATGCTGTATCTTTTAGTGTGTTATAAATACTTTCGGTGTATCACATGACTTTTAACTGTCTTTGTTGTATGGAAGGTTTTTTTTTTTTAATTTTACTGCTGTAAAATATATATAACAAAACATTTGCTATTTTTACCATTTGTAAATGTGTTGTACAGAAGTTTTAATTATCAATTTTTAGTTACCAGGGGTATTTTGTTGCTATGTTTTACATTTTTGTCTTTAGAAAGCCTTCCCTAACCCAAGGTTATATATATACTGTTTTAATGCTTTTATAGTTATTTGTTTAGCTCTTTAATCTATTTGGTTTTTTGTTTTTGTTTTGTGAACAGAGTAAGGTAAGGATCTTATTTTTTCCAAATCGATAGTCAGTTGTATTAATCAGGGTCACTAAACTAGCTGTGATTAAGAACAGTTCTCAAATCCCAGTAGCTTAACACAGTGAAGCAGAAATGAAATGGAGAGAGTTACTCAAGATCCCAGTTTGCTTCCACGTCAGCACATGGCCCTCAGAGGAGGGAAATGGGCCGGAGGATGGCGCTGGAGGCTGTCATGGTCCTGCCTGGAAGTTACAGTTGTCACTTCTACCCACAATCCCTGGGCCAGAGCCAGGCGCATGGCCCTGCCTGCTTACCCCAGGGCTGGGAAGGGGAAATATCAGGTGCGAGCCCAGGATGAAGGGGAAACAGCAGGCGGAGCCTGGCTGCCTCAGCTTGCCCAGTGTTTGTCTCATGAGGGGACGTGTAGCTTGATGGTATTCTACATCCCTGTGCCCGTATGCGTCTGCACCCGGACTCTCTATTCTGGTTTCTTAGCCTTTTTTAATTTTTTTGTCTACCCTGTTTTAACTAATGTGGCTTTATAGTTTATTTTGCTGTCTGGAAGACAAGGGCCACCTCCTTGTTCTTTTTTATTTATTTCTTTACAATGGACAATACCTTCTTAGAATTCAAAAATACAAAGGTGGTATTGCTGCATCAAAGTAGATGAGCATTTCAATCTTGGATACTGCTCCAGAGGCCCCTGAAATGGCTGTGCTGGTTCACATTTCGTGATGCAAGTGGATCTCACTTGCTTTCCTGGCACCTGGTGGGTGTCTCCCACTTGGCAAGGGCCCCTGGGACTTTGGTTCAGTGACCTTGCAATGTCATTCTGGTTAAATTACAGTCTGTCCCCTCAGCCCTGCCCCAGGAGACCACTGATCTGCTTCCCGTCACTGTAAATTAGTTTCGCCCACTCTAGAATTGCATGTAAGTGGAATCATCAGTTAAGTAAACTTCTTCTTGCAGCGTAACACATACATAAATGTGTACAGATCCTAAGTTCACAGCTCCGTGCACTTTCACTACCTGAATACACCATGGAATTAGCATCCAGATCAAGGAACAGACCAGTATCCCAGAAGCCCCCTCGTGTCCCCTCCCAGTTATCACTCCCACCCTCCTCCCCAAGGGTTACTGCTCTTCTGACTTGTTGCGCTGTTGATTGCTCTTGCCACTTGATCTTTGTTTTCAGTGTTTGATCTTTATATATGGGCGTCCTGTGGTATGAACCCTGTCTGGTTTATGAGATGCCTCTGCACTGTCCAGGCAGCAGTAACTGGTTCCCTCTTACTGCCCTGGAATATCCTCTGTGTGAATACACCCATCCATCGGCTCCCCTCCTGTGGACACTGGGTTTTCCACGTCAGTTCTGTTATGAATAGAGCTGCCATGGACATTCTTGTGTGTGTGAAACAGACTTAAGACTGACAGCTCAGAAGCTTTTGGCCCTGGGCTGAACATGTTTTTTAGTTCCTTCCCCAAGGTCATACAATGGATGAGGAAGATGAGCGAGGCCAGGATTAGAGCTGGCCTTTATAAATGGTTCCTAATTGGAATGTGCGTGGGTGAGTCTCTGTGTGTGTTTTGAGGGTATCTGAAGAAGCATTTTAAGAACACAGATTAGATGATGTGTCCATCCTAGTGGCCATCCCCCGTGTGATATGGGTGGAAACATGCCCAGAGACTCAGCAGGGGGCCTGCCACCCTTGGCCCCGGTGGAGCTGAGTGTTTTTTCAGCTCATATCTAGCTTCCCTGCTCTTTCTTTTCTTTTTTCTCTTCCAGGCTGAAACGTCTTCCACTAAAGAGGCAGTAATTTGATTCCACCCTGGCCTGTCCCAATTCAGATCTCCTCCATGATGGAAGATCATCGATTCTTCAGTGAATACATTGTACAGATTGTATTTATATGTAAATTCATGCTGTAAAATAATTTCGAAAACCTTGACATTTCAAAGGCTGCCTTGGAAGTTGCCGGAATTGATTTCTATTTTTAACTTCAGTTAGTGTCAGAGGGAAAAATTCAGACTGTACGGTTTAATTAAAGTGGAATTTTTCTATTTTCTTCTTGATTTTTTTATATCCTGAGACTTTAAAAAAGAAATAAAAAAGTGAAGGTTTTTCTCTGGTTGTGTTAGGAAGAGAGCTGAGTCCCTTTAAGGACCGTTGGGATGTATTTAAGGACAGGTGTGTGAGGGGGTGGCAGCTGCTTGCCCTCTGGGCTGTTTTTCTTGCAAGTAAGGCTCCTCCCTCTTGTGGTTGTGGGCGCCACAGAGCCAGGCAGGTGGCCTCTGCCTGTCAGGTAGATGCTGTCTGAGATGAACGCGTCTTCAGAGACCAGGAGTGGGCGAATGTGCGCCCAGACCCTGGGTCACCCCAGCTCTAGGGCCTTGCTCTGCAGACGGGGGTCCCTGCTCTGAGGCTGCCTCATCTGCACTGAGACCTTTTAAAAAAGTAAAGTGCTCCGTTGTTGTTTTGCATTGTGAGGTAACATCAATCAGAACAATTTTAAAGGAAGAAAGAAAAAAAATCCCTTCTAGTTCTACCAGCCAGAGATGACAACGCTTAATATTTTGAAATAATTCCTCTTATTCTTTTTCTAGCTGTGGGGTGTTACCCTGTTAGAGGTAACATTTTGTCCCCTTATTTTTGTTAGCATTGTGACAAATAATTTCCGCCATGTTCTTAAAAATCCTGTGTATTAGCCTCAGATAGCTGCGTCCTATTTCCAGGGCCATTCCATAATTGATTGACTGTTCTCTGTTGTTGGACCTGGACTGAATTAGCCAGGAGCCCCTAGATCAGCAACATGGGCGGATTACCGATGAAGGAAGGTAAGCAGGGGTTTCCTTGTGCGTACTTACTCATCTGAAGTGAGCAGTTTCACATAGGTTCCACCACATCTTTGAATGATGAACCTCATGTGAATTTGTGCACTACAGATGAGTAAGTACGCACAAGTAAGCCCCAAGGTACCTTGCTTACAGGGTAATCGGTCCCTGTCAGGAATTATAATTTTGAAAAGAGGCTTTGATTCTGTAGGAAGGTGCTGTGGGGTTGGGAGAGAGACAGACGCCAGCCATACCTAGAAGCAGAATCTTTGATGAAGTGAAAAAATGTGAAATTGTTCGCTACAGATGACCTGGTAAGCAAGGTAAGCACCGTGCTTACCTTGCCTGTTCGGATAGTCCGCCCCTGCAGGCAAAGGATCACCCGGTGAGAGGGAGGGAGGCAGGAAGATCAGAAGGAAGGTCTTGAAGATGAGACCGCCGGGTTTTACACACTCGGCCTCACTCTTGTGCCCAGAACTCGAAGCTCCCCCCCCGTTTTTAAACCGTGTTCTTCTTTGGGAGACCGCTTTTCGCAGCAGGCGAGGAGCAGTGGGATCGCAGGGCCAGGGTGGCCGGCTGGGCGGTGCGTGCGTGGAGCCGACGGGCGGCGCGGGGTGGGCGCGCGGCGCCACGGTTCGCCCCGAGGCCAGCGGTGGGCCGGCTCCGAGATGGCTTCTCAAGGGTCGGGCTCCTCCAGCTCCCCAAAAATCCCAGGCGGGGAGGGGAAGACTGCGCCCCCGTACTATGGCGCGTGGCTGCTACCCTCGGTCACCGCTGGTGCGCGGCGGCTCCGCAGGCTGCCCTGGGCCACAGTGGCCAGAGCCTACGGCCGCTTCAAGCTACCCATCTCAGAGGCGCGCCAGATGCGGCTGCTGAGCACCCTCGACCCGCTGGCCGTGGGCAAGACCTCACCGCAGCCCGAGGAGCACCCGATGTCTGAGAAGCTGTTCTGGGGCGACCAGGAACCCCTCTCCAAGGTCAGCGCCACCCCTGGGGGAGGGCCGGCGGCCTGTTGCTCCCATGTGGGGAGGTCGCGCAGGCCGGCTAGGGGACCCGTGAGGGACCCGCCTGGCTACACAGTCACCACGAGCGAAGCCGTGGGCTCGGTCCTCGCCTGCGGCACACCTAGTGGGCAAAGGCTCGCGAGAGGGACTTGGAGGTGGCAGCGGCTGATTCAGCAGGAGGAGAAGTGGGGTGGCCGGGGAGGCATTCCACTGGGGGAACGAGGACTGTTCTAAAGCTGTGGAACGGGCTGAACGGGGTGGGGGGGAGCAAACCTAACAACACTACTTGGTGTGCTCAGTGATGTCTGAGAGGAGATTGCACTGATAAAACAAAGGCTGGCGGCTGGGAAGGTGAAATAATCTGCAAGCAGAATTCGTGGGAGTGAAAAACAGGATTTCCAAACCCAAACTCCACGGCAGAGGCTTTAAAATCAGAGCAGAGAACTGCAACAGAAAAGGAGAAAGCCAGCTCATGGAATCCCCTCAGAATGCAGAGAAAAAACATAAAACTACAATAATTACGAGAGAAAAGATGAGACCTGCTGGAAAGATCCAGAAGAGCCAATATACCTATGCTAGGTATTGGAGAGGGAGAGAAGGATCAGGAGGAGGAAAATACGAAAAGCCACAATGAAGCAACTTCCCTGAGCTGAGAAAGACTGGAGTGTTCAGACTGAAAGCAATGGCCGAGTTCAGTGCAAGATTGGCAGGAAATATAACCTACACCTGGCAAAGGCCTGCGGTGCCCAGGAGAGGGAGAAAGGCCTTCCCCACCTGGACAGAAAAGCCTGGGACCTGACCGAGATGCTTGCTTCTCTCCACCGTCAGAGGTGGTGGTTTAGACGGATTACCCAATAAACAAAGTATGCACGGGTTTACACGTGCTTACTTAGTACTAATCTGTAGGACACAATTTCATCTATTTTTTCACCCATGTGAAATTATGCCCTACAGGTTAGTAAGTAAACACAATTAAGCCTATGCGTACTTTGCTTGGTGCCCCGGTGTTGCCATGGTTAAGAGTCTGGCTGCTAACCAAAAGGTTAGCAGTTTGAATCCACCAGCTGCTTCTCAGAAACCCTATGGAGCGGTTCTGCGCTGTCCTGTAGGGTTGCTATGAGCGGGAGTCAACTTGACAGCATCGGGTTTGGTTTGGTAACTTGCTTACCGTAAACCAGTGTGTGCAGTGGTTACTGGTTAATCCGCCCCTGTGCAGGGACTGTCAATTGGCTGACACAACCAGTTGACCCCCTCCCCCCCACTGGGTGCATAGAGGTGCTTAGGGATTTCCAAAAGAGGAGCTGTTAGAAAAGAAAGCAAAGCTGTGTCCCAGTGTTTCGCTGTGCTTTTAGTCCTGAAGGAGCCCTGATGGCGCAGTGGTTAAGTGCTCGGCTGCTAACCTAAAGGTTGGTGGCTCGAACCCACAAACTCACCAGCTGTTCACCAGGAGAAAGGTGTGGCTGTCTGCTTCCATAAAGATTACAGCCTTGGAAACCCTATGGGGCAGTTCTCCTCTGTTCTATAGGGTCGCTATGAGTTAGAACTGACTTGATGGCAGTGGGTTTGGGTTTGCTCTTAGTCTTGATATTTATTTTGACTTTTAAGTAAAAGGAGAGCCCAGGAATGGTATTTTGTTTCTTTATAGTCTCAATAGAACGTTTCCAAGGTTTAAATTCAAAAGATATAAAAGTTGTTTAAAATGAAAAATCTTGCCAGTACCCCTGCCCCTAAGGAACGCATTTCCCTCTATAGAGGCAACAAATGTTCCAGTGTCTTCTGCCCTTACGGAGATCTTTTACGCATGTACCAGTACATACGAGAGTGAGTCAGAAAGTATTGCTACTAGGGTTCCAGTTCATACGTGCACGGGATTATTCCAAACAAAGCTTGTTTAAACATGTCTCTGCAATCAGTGGATGGCTTCAGACAAGTTCTCTGAGTAATACACTTGTCTTTGTCTTGTTAGGGTGCCTTCAAAACAATGGATACTTTTTGTGCCATGGAAAAAAATGATTTTAAGGTCAGGGCTAATACCAAATTTTTAACAAAACTCAAGTGGACATCTTCCCAAATCTTTGAAGCTTCACAGTAAGTTTATAGGAATGCTGCCCCACATAAAACAACAGTTTGCAGATGGATCGAGTGTTTTAAGGAAGGTCGGGAAGACCTCAAAGATGAGCCAGGAGGGGGAAGACCGCTCAGGTTATGGCGACTGTTTTTTGGAATCCCAAAGGGGTAGTCTTTTTTTTTTTTTTTTTTTAATTGTGCTTTAAATGAAAGTTTACAGTTCAAGTCAGTTTCTCATACAAAAATTTATACACACATTGCTATGTGACCCTAGCTGCTCTCCCTATAATGTGAGGGCACACTCCTCCTTTCCGCCCTGGATTTCCCGTGTCCATTCAACCAGCTCCTGTCCCTTTTTGCCTTCTCATCTCGCCTCTGGACAGGAGCTGCCCATTTAGTCTCATGTATCTACTTGAGCTAAGAAGCACTCTCTTCACGAGTATCATTTTATGTCACATAGTCCAGTCTAATCTTTGTCTGAAGAATTGGCTTTGGGAATGGTTTCAGTTCTGGGCTAACAGAGTCCGGGGGCCGTGTCTTCTGGGGTCCCTCCAGTCTCAGTCAGACCATTAACTCTGATCTTTTTACTAGAATTTGAGTTCTGCACCTCACTTTTCTCCTGCTCCATCAGGGATTCTCTACTGAGTTCCCTGTCAGGGTGGTCGTTGGTGGTAGCCGGGCACCATCTAGTTCTTCCGGTCTCAGGCTGATGGATCTCTGGTTTATGTGGAAAAGGGGTAGTCTTGAGGGATTTTCGTGAAGGACACGGGACAATCATGGGAGCTTATTATGAAGAAGTTTTAAGAAAATTAAAAACTGCATTGCTGAGTAAAAGGCCAGGAAAGTTGTGCCGAGGAATTTTTTCCATCACGACAATGCACCTGTTCATTCTTTGAGGCCAGCAAGGGCTGTCCAAGAGAATTTCATTGTGAAACCTTACCCCATTCAACCTACAGCCCTGATCTTGCTCCCTGAGACTTGTTTTTGTTCCAAAAACTCAAAGAACATTTAAAAGGAACACGATTTGAGTCCCTCGAGGGTGCCAAAACTGCTGTTTTGAAGTGGTATATATTGAAGAATGCAGAATTCTTCAGGGAAGGGTTAGAGAGATGGAAGCACTGCCTTCGGAAGTGTATAGACCTTGATGGAGGATATGTCAAGGAACAATAGCTTCACATTTTGATATTTTTGTTTAATAAAGGCGTCTATGATTTTGTAGCAATACTTCTTTACATACCCTCGTATGTGTATATTTTTCTTTTCCCCTGTTTTACACAAATGGTAGCCTAGCTTACACCCCTTCTGCACCTTTTTTTTCTACTTGAAGTGTATTTTAGCGCTCTTTCCGTATCAGTACATAAACAGGTGCTCCTTGGAAACCCTATGGGGCAGTTCTACTCTGCCCTATAGGGTCGCTATGAGTTGGAATTGACTCGACGGCACTGAGTTTGGTTTTTGGTTTGTCCTTTTTAATGGGTGTTTAGTATTCCATTGGATGGGCATCAGTTTCCTCTGGGTGCACATTCGGGTGGTTTCTGATTTTTTTCACCTGAGGTTTTTATGATTGGCCGGGCTGACAGAGGTTAAGTTCTGTGAAGCTCTGAGGGGAAAGTGTGTGTTCTGAGAATTCTCTACCCAGCCAAACTGCTAATCGCTGATGAAGGTAACAGAAAGCTGTTTTCTTCAGTGCTACAAAGACTCAGAAAGGATGCCTCTCTTTGAAGAAAAAAAAAAAAAAATTATTCAAGGAACCACTCAGCAAGCAAGCAAGCAACAGAAATCAGAATTAAATTCTCAAGAGAAAGAGTGGTCTCCAATAAACAGGGGAGCAATGAATGAAAACAATACAATTTGGAGGTGTTTATATCCTGAGGTTAATGGTGCTGTGTAACTTAATCAAAATGTTAACAGCTGGTCCCTTAGAATAAAGGTGCATAATGCAAAAACAGTAACGTTCCCAAAATAAGATCGCAGATGATCTTCTCAAAATCTCCAAGATGGTCAGTAAAGAATATTCTCAATAGATAATGGTCCCCAGCATTCGTTTAATGCACATACACATGCCTGAGTATTTTTTAATAATTGGCTCAAAACTTCCCCCTGGCTTCCTGGCACAGTTAAGATGAAGCTGGGAGATCTAACCATGACCTTCCAGGCCATTTGGAATCTGCTGTTCTCCTGTTCTCATCTCCTTCCCCTGTGCCTTGCTGACCCCCTCCCGCCACGCTGGCCTTCGAGCAGGTCCAGACTCAGGCCTCTGCCCTGTGTCCTCCGGGCCCTACTCCACACGCCCCTACGGTCCCATCAGCTCACGTCTTCCCTCCCCACAGACATGTCCACCTCAGGAGGCCCTCCCTGACTGCCGTCTAAAGTCGCCCCGCGACTTGTTGTCACTTGTCCTCACGCACTGTTTGATGGCTGTACCCCCTCCCCCCGGAGGGCAGGAACCCATTTAGTTCCCAGCGGTGCCCACCAGCTAACTCACTCCTCAAGTTTGGGGTCTTTGCCCTTCAGTTCCCGCTGTAGCCACAGCACCTAGATCCAGACCTGACAAGGGGAGGCGCTCGAGATACATTCGTTGAATGAATGAATGCCAGAAAACAAAAACAAAAACAAAACCCGCTGTCGTCGCGTCAGTTCCGACTCACAGCGACCCTGTAGGACAGAGTAGAACTGCCCCGCATATAAAAAGGAACAACCAGCTTTCTGCTTTGACAGTGAGGAGACCTTGCTCTCCATGCCATTTTTGGTCTGCGCCTCCGAAAATGCAGCGGCGTGTCTGGAACCTGTTTGGGCAGCTCCTGGGGATCCCGTCCCTGACGGACCACGACGCACTCGGCGCAGAAAAGCCTGCAGGAGGGAGGCCCGCCGAGAGCGCCGTCCCGGGCTGGGGGCTTGGAGGGCATTTTTGCGGGTGTTCTCCTCTTGCCTAGCTGTCCGTGAGGAAGCTCTGGTTTTGCCACCGGAGATAACAAAACGGTAGTTTGGCCCAGAGGCGGCTGCCGAAGCCGGGCGGCGGGGAGAGCGGGGACCGAGGTCCCGGGGCGGGGGCCGAGGGAAGGTCAGGCTCCTAGGCGCCGGCTTGCCTCCGCCCCCTGGCGGCTGAGCCCGTGTGCCCGCATCTCCTGGTCCCCGCGCTGCCTGCCGACAAGGCCAGGTCCCCGCGCCCCCGCGTCTCGCGCTTGCCGGCAGCGTGCCGCCTCCTCCCCCCGCCCCCCGCACTTCGACTGGCCCCTGTACACCCCCGCAATCCTGCAACCCCGCACGCTGCCTTCGGCTTTTACCCACCCCTCGCATACCCTCATCCCTGCACCTCCCGGAGGATCCCGCGTCTCCCCGACCCTGTCTCCACATTCCGGTCCCCGCATCCCTAGACTCCCAAACGCCCTCGCCTCCGTGTCCCCACATCTCCTCACTCCCCCTCATTCTCCAAAATCCATCAATTCCATATCCCCGCTCCCCTCTCCACAACCCATAACGGTGGGTCGGAAGGGAACTTTTTTTTTTTTTACATATTTGTTTTATGTTTGTACGTATTTAAATAATACTACAGTAAAAGTAATTCAAGACAATGCTGAGGATTTCCGGTAAGTTTTTCTTTTAAAAGTGGTTCACGTTTGAGAATCACTGCTTTAAAGATAATATTATCTGAAAACTGTAAACTCTGCTGGCCCATGGGACAAACATTTGCAATGTTGTATAGAACATTCAGCTTCTTGGAGAGGCCGACTCAAACCTCCCAATTTTTTTTTTTATACTTTTTTTGAACTTTTTAAAAAAATTGTACTTTAGATGAAGGTTTACAGAACAAATAGTTTCTCATTAAATAATTAGTACACATATTGTTTTTTGACATTGGTTAACAACCCCACAACATGTCAATACTCTCCCTTCTCGACCTTGGGTTTCCTATTGCCAGCTTTCCTGTCCCCTCCTGCCTTCTAGTCCTTGTCCCTGGGCCACTGTGCCCTTTTAATCTCATTTTGTTTTATGGGACTGTCTACTCTTTGGCTGAAGGGCGAACCTGGGGAGTGGACTTCATTTCTGAGCTAAAAGGGTGTCCCGGGGCCATGCTGTTAGGGTTTCTTCAGTCTCTGTCAGACCAGTAAGTCTGGTCATTTTTTGTGTTAGAATTTTGTTCCACATTTTTCTCCAGTTCTGTCCAGGACCCTCTGTTGTGATCCCGGTCAGAGCAGTCAGTGGTGGTAGCCAGGCACCATCTAGTTGTACTGGACTCAATCTGGTGGAGGCTGTGGTAGATGTGTTTCATTAGTCCTTCGGACTAATCTTTCCCTTGGATCTTTAGTTTTCTTCATTCTCCGTAAGGCGTGAGACCTGCAGAGTGTCTTAGATGGCGGCTCACAGGCTTTTAAGACCCCAGACGCTGCTCACCAAAGTAGAATGTAGAACATTCTCTCTATAAACTGTGTTATGCCAGTTGAGCTAGATGTTCCTTGAGACCATGGTCCCCACAGCCCTCAGCCCAGTAATTGGGTCCCTCAGGGAGTTTAGATGAGTCTGTGAAGCTTCCACGATCTTGCCTTGTGCTGGCTTCCCCAGGATTGTGTACTGTCTTACCGGAAGGGAACCTCTTCAGGTTTGTTCCTTCTTTCTTTTACACAGCTTTATTGGGATATAATTCACGTATCACACAATTTACCTATATAAAGTGTACAAATGAATGGTTTTAATGTATACACAGACTTGTGCGACCACAATCAATTTTAGAACATTTTATCACCCCAAAAAGAAATCAGCAGTCACTCCCCATTTTACCTCAACCTCTCTCCCCCAATCCTATGCAATCACTAATCTACTTTCTATCTCTATAGATTTGTCTATCCTGGATCTTTCATATAACTGGAATCAAACATTTTGAGGTCTTTTGTGACTGATTTCTTTTCTTAGCATGTTGCCAAGGTTCACTCATGTTGTAGAATGTATCACCACTTCATTCCTTTTTTATTGCCAAGTAAGTTTCCATTTTTGATATAGACCACGTTTTATTGATTTATTCATCAGTTGACGGACATTTGGATTGTTTCTACTTCTTAGCTGTTATGAATAAGCTGCTATAAACATTCACGAACAAGTTTGTGTGTGGACATATGTAGTTACTTTTTTTTTTAGATCATGTAGTAACCTTTTGAAGAACTGTCAGGCTCTTTTCCAAAGTGGCTGCACCATTTGACCAGCAGTGTATAAATGTTCCCAACTCTCCACACCCTCCCCGATCTTGTTTTTGTCTGCTTTTTGATTATAGCCACCCTAGCAGGTGAGAGGAGCCCTGGGGGCGCAGTGGTTAAGAGCTTGGCTGCTAACCAGAAGGTCGGCAGTTCGAATCCACCAGCCGCTCCTTGGAAACCTTATGGAGCGGTTCCACTCTGTCCTGTGAGGTTGCTATGAGTCAGAATTGACTCAGTGTCAATGGGTTTAGTTTGTTTTTTTGTTTTGTTTTTGTTCATTTTCTTAATGGTGTCCGTTGAAGCACAAATATTTTTTTATTTTGGGGGAGTCAAATTTATCTATTTTGTTTGTTGCTTGTGCTTTTGATGTCATAGTTAAGACTCCATTGCCAAATCCAAGGTCACGAAAATCTATGTGCATATTTTATTCTAAGGATTTTATCATTTTAGCTCTTACGTTTAAGTATTTCATCAATTTTGAGTTAATTTTTCGGTATATGGTGTGAAATAGGGGTCCGGTTTCACTTTTTCGGATGTGGATACCCATTTGTCTCAGCACCATTGGTTGAAAAGACTATTCTCTTCCCATTTAATTGTCTTGGCACCTTTGTTGCAAATAAATTCTATGTCCATGAGAGTTTATTTCTGTATTCCAAATTCTACCATTGATCTCTATGTCTATTCTTATGCTGGCACCACACTGTTTTGATTTTTGTTTCTTTGTAGTAGGTTTTGATGTCAGGAAGTGTGAGTCTCCCACCTTTGTTCTTCAAGATCCTCTCGGCTATTCTGGGTCCCTTGAGTTTCCATGTGAATTTTAGGACAGCTTGTTAATTTCTGCAAAGAAGCCAGTTGGGATTTTGATAGGGATGTCTTTGAATCTGTAGAGCAATTTGGGGAGTGTTGTCATCTTAATAATATTAAGTCTTCTGATTCATCACTATGGGATATCTTTCCATTTATTAAGGTTTTATTTCTTGCAACAATGTTTTGTAGTTTTCAGAGTGTACGTTTTGCGTTTCTTTTGTTAAATCTATGGCTAAGCATTCTTTTTAATGCTATTATAAATGCAATTGTTTTCTTAATTTCAGTTTTTGGTTGGTTCATTGCAAGTGTGCAGAAATACAACTGCTTTTTGTATACTTATCTTGTATCCTGCAACCTTGCTGAACTTGTTCATTCCATCCTATTTTTTCAGATTCCATTTAAAATTCTGAGAGGTCACGAGCAGATGGTGAGTTCCTGCCATTTCTGTGTGGAAGACACAAAGATCCTCAGTGGCTCCTATGACTGCACTGTGAAGCTGTGGGTAGGTGGCCCAGGGTCAGGTTCTCCTGGAGCTAAAACATCTTGTAAGCTTATGTCATCTCGTGTGGACAGTTCCCCAGTACTGAGTTCCTGGACACTCAAGGATCCCAAAAGTTTGAAAGGGCTCTGTGCAAAGTGCAAGAAGGATGTGCAAAGTGAGCTCCCCTCTCCGCCCCCGCCCAGTGTCAAGTTGCTGGAGAGATGAAGTTAGTGTAACTGCTGCCAGCCTGATCTTTCGGAAACAGTGGGAGCTGGAGGTCAAGACCACTGGGCTGGGAGTCCCTCATCTTTTGTTGAGGGTGGTCCCAGCTGTGCCTCTGGCCTACGTGGGGTCTCTGAGCTGTGTTATTTCTTGTGATCTCCTTCTCTTTATCTGGAAAACTCAGTTCCGTCCGCAGAGACTGTATGGCCAGGCCTGGGTGGACAGAAAGGTGGCCAGGCCTGGGATCTGCCTATAAGGGGTGGCTGGGAGAGGCAGATCTGAGCACAGAGCAATGCCCCAAAGTTTAGGAGGTAGGGGCACAAGGGACAGGAGTTTGATGGTTAGACATGGTTGCAGAGAGGCAGCCACCTAGAACACTTCTGGATCCTTCCGGGCAGAGCTGGCAGATACTGGCAGGCCTATTTTGGGGCATTGCTGGTTTGTCAGGAGGGGATGACGAGGGAGCAGGGCTGGGGGGTGGCAGTGGCCAGCAAGGGCCAGGTCGAACATGGCCATGTGGCTGGGGCTCTGGCCCATGGGGAAAGACAATCAGTTCTGAGTTTTGCCATCTCCTCTGGCTTCAGGGCCAGGAGCAGAACAGGGTGGAGTGAGTCAAGGCTGGTTCCCGGGTTCTGATTTGGGTAACTGGGTGGAGAATAGCCCCTCACCCTCCAGTGACCTTAGAGGAGCATCTTCTGTGTCATCAGTGGGTGCCAAGTCCAAGCCGACTGGGCAAGAGGGCTTTGGGGACTGTCAAAATGAGCTGAGACCACATATTTGGGATCCACCAGCTGTGTGACCCTGGAAGGTTACATGTCTTCCTGGGCTTCCCGGAGCCTCTCTGTCCCTCCCAGGACCAGCTGTGTGTCAGGGCTAGCCCAGGGCCTACCAGGCCCATACCAGGCCCCAACACCCACTCCCTCCCTCTGCTGCTGCCCTTTACAAAATCCACCACCTACCCTGTGATCTCCTTGTTGAGAAAATGACTGGTTTCTCTGGGAGCCTTAAGCTCTTTCCCTATGGGGTGACCAGGAAGCCCACAGGGTGAGGGGACCTCTGCTGGTTGTCATCACCGGGGTTTGCCATTTCAAATTCTTCCCACTTTGTTCTCGCCTTTTGAGTCAGTGGAAGGACTTGTGGAGGTTTCTGTCTGTTTCGGCCGATGGACCCTTGTTTTTAAGGCTCTTGATATCTGCCCGTTTCTACTTTCCGGACAGTTGGTGCCACTTTGGTCATTATCCCAAGATGAGAGACCACCCATCAAGATGTTCTCAGTTCTCCACCACAGTCTCATTTCCCTTGTTCCCCTCCTCCTCAGTGCCCTGTCCATGATGCAAGCCACTTCTCCCTCTGCCTCCTTTATATCCTCCTTCCCACAAGCCTTAAATCCTTCTCCCACCCCAGGAAATAAGTCCAAGGAAATAATCCCCGACTTGCTCACAGCCCTCTTCCCTTCTGCCACATTTTCTAGCAGACCTCAAGCCCCTGCTGCCCCTCTCTCTGCCCTCCTTCACCCCTTCAACCCGACTCCGATAACTGCTGGTTTTCCCCTGGGCTCCAGGCCTTGACTGGCCCCATTGACTGCCCTCTCCAAGGAGCCGTCTCTCCTCCCCTCTGGTTCTCTTCTCCTGTCTTCTTTCTTTTCTGCTGGCTCCTTCTGGATCCCCAGCTGTGGATCTCCCCTCAATAGATGATTAAGCCATTACCCTACGCCTTCTTGTATCACAGTATCTCAGCCCAGATGTCCCCCTTCTTCCCCCTGTGAACCTGCCCATCATCACCTCCATCTCTGATCCCTCCTCCCAACCCTATCCCAAACCTGAACATTTGATTTAATCTTTAAACCCCCCTTTCACAATTATAGACTGCTGTGGATAATTCCGGAAGTCCATAAATGTACGAAGAAGTTGTATTAGTTTTCTAGGGCAGCTATAACAAAGTACCACAAATTCGGTGACTTATAAGAACAGAGATTTATTGTCTCACAGTTCTGGAGGAGTCTGAAATCAGGGTGTTGGCAGGGCCATGCTCTCTCTGTGCACTCTGGCGGAAGGTCCTTCCTTGTCTCTTCTAGCTTCTGGTTGCCCAGGCATTCCTTGGCTTGTAGATGCATTTTCACATGGCACTTCCTGCTGTGTGTCTCTCTGTACCTGTTGACCTCTTTTATCGGGACACTACTCAGATTAGATTCGGACCCATTTACTTTGGTTTGACCTCCTGTTAGCCGATAACATCTTCAAAGACCCTGTTTCCAAACAAGGTCAATTTCACAGGTACTAGGGAATAGGACATCAACATATCTTTTTGGAGAACACAATTCAATCCATAACAGAAGCTGAAAAAAAATCATTAAAAAAAAAATTTTTTTGTTGTGCTTTAAATGAAGGTTTACGGATACACATGTTGTTCTGTGACTTTGGTTGCCAACCCTGTGATGTGTCAACAGTCTCCCCTTCTGGACCTCGGGTTCCCGATTTCCATTTGTTCAGCTTTCCGGTCCCCTTCCGCCTTCTCATCCTTGTCCCTGGGCTGGTATGCCCATTTAGTCTTGTATACATGGTTGAGCTACATGTATTAGTGTTTGTTTTATGGGCCTGTCTAATCTTTGGCTGAATGGTGAACTTCAGGAGTGACCTCAGTACTGAGTTAAAAAGGTGTCCAGAGGCCATAATCTTGGGGTTTCTCCAGTCTCTGTCAGGCCAATAAGTCTGGTCCTTTTTTGTGAGTTTGAATTTGGTTCTACATTTTTCTCCAGATCTATCCAGGACCCTCTATTGTGATCCCTGTCAGAGCAGTTGGTGGTGGTATCTGGGCACCGGGTAGTTGTGCTGGACTCTGTCTGGTAGAGGCTATGGTAGATGTGGTCCATTAGTCCTTTGGACTAATCTTTCCCTTACGTCTTTGGTTTTCTTCATTCTCCCTTGCTCCAGATGGATGGGACCAGTGGAGAAAAAAATTCATTCTCAATCCCACTACTCCATCTCATTCTAATACATCGGCACATTTCTTTTCAGCCATTAAAAAACAAAACAAAACTGTAGTAGTTTTTCTTGTATTACAAAAGTAATATGATTTTATTACAGAAAGGCATAAAAATACACAAAGAAGAAAAATAAAACCATCATTCAGCCACCCCAGAGTTAACTTCTATGAAAATGTTGATGTGTATCTTCCTTTTTCTTGCATGCACACATATACACACATTTATAAAATTGGAGCCATACAGAAATACTGTTTATGTGACCATAATGAACTTAGGGTACAAATATTGTCATGTCTCTTTTATTTTTCCAGTTATTTATTAGAGCTCCCCCATTTATTCAAAGTCAAACCAGTATCCCCCACTGAGACTGAATCCACAGGGATGGGGTCCTGCTTCCAAATGCCAGGTGAAGAGGGAGCCATTTTACCTGTCCATGGTCTTTGTTCCTTCTCTTGGCCATACGGTGTCACTATTGAATGCTGAACCAGCATAGCCCCATGGACAGGGATCCACTTTAATGGTGCCATTGGCTGGCTCTAGGCCCTGCACAGACTGTAGTGGGCCTGATCCCAGGCCCCAAGATGGCTGTTTTCTTAGTTTGCAATCACATATTTTTCCCCGGAGTAATACACCAGCCAGGGAGGCTGGTTCCCTTAGGCTCTTGAGCTCAGGCCGCCAGCCTAGGTGTCACCTACCCCTGGTGAGTTCCTCTATGAGATCCTTCCTACCAGTGGGCTTTGATTAGGGCCTAGTGGGTATATCCAGACATGACTCAATTATTTCGAGCCTTAGAGAGCAGAGCTTGAAATCTGGGTCTGTGCATATAGCAGCTTGAGACAGCTATCCTTAGAAAGCTTGGCCCTTGACTGGCATGTGGGAAATTGACTGATAAACAGTTCCCTACACTGATATGAGACTTTCCCTAAATGATAAAGGTGGCTCACTGTACCTAGACCAAAGTGACTTATGCTGAGCACCTGCTTTCCTCCTGAGAATTGGAATTTTGGTACATGCTGAGAGTGCCTATGTGACCAATAAAAACCCTGGACTTCAAGGCTCAGGTGTGCTTGCCTGGTAGACAACACTTCCCATGTGGTCTTACAACTCACTGCTGGTGGAATTAATTGTGTCCCATGAGACTCCACTGGGAGAAGAGTCTTAGAAGCTTGTGCCTGGTTTCCTCCAGACTTCGCCACATGCATCTTTTACCTTTACTAATTTTACTTACACTGTAGTAAATCTTAGCTGTAAGTCCTACTATATGCTGAGTTCTGTGAGTCCTTCTAGCTAATCACCAAACCTGGGACTAGTCTTGGCAACCCTCGACCTCGACACAGACTTGGGATCCTAATGAAAGCGATCTCTGTGTATCAGGGGGTATTGTCACAGGCCTACCCTTGTCTGGCCAAAAAGCACCCCAGTCTTCCGCTGTATTTTTACATAACAATGCAAGACCTTTCTAGTAATTCTTTCTCTTATAAGAAAGGGGGACTTTCCACTTTGTCTGCATATCCTGAAAACCTGCTGGCACATTTCTTACTAAAAAAGATTTCATCTTTGTCACAACAGGCACCCTCTTGCATCGGTAACCAAACCAGTTGCTGTTGAATTGATTCCAACTCATGGAAACCCTGTGAGCGTCAGAGTAGAACCGTGCTCCACAGGGTTGTCAATGGCTGATTTTTCAGAAGTAGATCACCAGGCTGTTTGAGGCACCTCTGGGTGGACTCAAAGTGCCAACTTTTGGTTAACAGCTGAGCACGTTAACCGTTTGCATCACCCAATGACTCTTCTTTCATTAGAACAGGCTTGTTCTCATCACCTTCTCTAGTTATGAACCATCAGCATGATTTTTAACAGTTGCCGGTGCCTGGCTGTTAGATATCCCGCAATTTGTTTTAACCATTCCCCTTTAGATGGGCACTTAGATTGTTGCCAGAGTTTTTGCCATCACCAATAATGTGAGATGAACATATTCATGCATAAATTTTTGACTGTAATTCTGTTCACTCAGAAGAGAACGCTTGGAGTAGAACTGCTGGGTCAAAGAGTGTGAACTTTTTTGAAGTTCTTAAACTAGACTGCTAGATTCTGAAAAGGCTTTCTGGTTTGCAGCCCTGCCCCCAGTATGGCCAGTTTCCATCCGGTAGCTGTAGAATTGTGGGGAGTTTTCCATGGATGCCATGGATGGTGAGGATGTCCTTCCTGCTCTTGGTGAGAGATGTTGGAAGGTTGCCCTTCTGACCTGAGTGGGAGTCATAGCACCATGGAGTTCTCATAGTTTGCTGCTGTAGACAAGCTGAGAGCTGATGTTAACTCAGTTCACAACTTCAGCAACGCCACAGTGACCACTGACTCTCTCTCTCTCATTTATTTGAGGATGCTGTTGATGGAATTGTGATGCGGAATTTTGAGCCTGGGCCCAAAGCTCCTGTTTTAGAGTGTAGCATCACGGCTGACAGCAAAAGGTGAACTTCCCATCGTTTTACACAGGTCAGGAAACATGAGAGTGAGGAGGCAGGCTAGAGCCCAGGCATACCCGTGACAGGCTTTCTTTTTTAACAAACAGGCAACCACGCTCCCACCTATTGTCTTATGGCATCTGGTTTTTTGCTGTGAAATTAAGTAGATGTGCTAACATTTTGAAATTTTAAAGTGTTAAAAAGATGAAATTTATTGTGGCGAATATAAAGCCAGTCTGAATTTTCTGCATGAAGTTTCTATAGCCACGCGTATGACTGTTGTAGCTGCAGGGGCCTTAGGGATTTAGTCCAGACCCTCCTGTCACAGAGGGCAGAGGCCCAGGGACCCAGAGCCCGAGCCTGTCATCTGGGAAGGGTCAGGGCTGGGAGGCAGAGGCACAGAGTAGGGCTTCTGGGAAGCGGGATGCGTTTGCTTAAATCCCTTCACACAGATGTGAGATGAGCCTGTAAAAGACAAAGGAATTTGCTTTAAATGGATTTACTTTTACCCTGAGCAGCAGCTATAAAAACCATGTCTATAAAAACTACTGTAGGAGTTTGTTCCATGGCCATCTATCTTCCTTAGAGGACAAACATTGCCACGGAAACATGCCTATAAGAAGACAAGGGTACATGTATATTATTTTGCTAAGTGTACTAACAATGGTTCAGAATGAAATGAGCTGTCTATGAAATCTTTTCCTGGAAAAAGACAGGTGAGCAGAGAGGGAAGTGCTTGAGCCTTGTGAGTTGTAGGTGTCCCCTTAGAAGGAGACAGTAAATTACAGAACAGAAGAAATTTAAAAACCCTAAATATAAAAACAACAACAACGACGTTTGAGTGCCTGAAGGATTAAGGAAGATAGTTGTGCTGTAGTGCCTTTGGCGTTGGGTTATCTCTCTTTCAATGAGTTCTAAGCTTCAATTTCCTAAGCAGATACATAGGGGCCACAGCTCCACCGTGGCCATCCCTCCTGTCTGTGTCACATAGGCCCCATCCAGTGTCCCAGGGGCTTTACAGACCTCAGAGGTTTGGTGAAGTCTCTGGAGAGTGGAAGCTACATGTGCGGCTGCCTTTTAGCCAGACCCCGTCAGTCCTCAGCAGGGCTCATGGAGCCATGTTGTTTTGGGATCCAAGGCTCAGAGTCTTCATGGGGAGGGGGTTTCTTGGAAGGAAGACCCACATAGGTGGGCAGGTGGGCACTATGAGAGTGGGGCCATGCTCTTCATTCAGGAGTGAAGATTATATTCATCTTATAATCAATACTAGGCCATTTAAAACTATTTTCATAAAATATATTTTCCAGAGCATCTTTCGAAAGATTATCACTTGCAATCTTGGTTTTAAATCATAAAACATTTCTATGAAGTCCTCATGGAAACAGCAGGCATAATTAATTGTTCCTGTTGTATTAAGAGCCTATATGTGTGCATTTTATTTCCAGAATTATTGCAGCATCCTACGACAAAACAATCAGGGCTTGGGACCTTGAGACAGGAAAACCGCTGGTATGTATGTCCTGCACTGGTCGGCAGGTGGCGTTGACAGACCTGGGCTGGGCATAGGGTCGGGAGTTGACAAAAGCCCCAGTCTTTGAGGAAAGGAGCATTTTCTCAGGGATCCGAGGCATAGATGTGAACAGCACCCTACAGTAGCCATTGCTTGCAAAGTTGGCAGCTTAGGAAGATGCAGATGATAGAGGTGGGGATTCGGGAAGGAAAGCAGAACATGGACTGAATCGGGTTTGGATATGCAGAAAGAAGGAGGGTCATTCTGGGCTGGGGTAACTGCAGAGGAAGAGGGAGCCTCCTTGTGGGATGTTTGATCTGATTAGGCGGGGCCTGGGGCCCAGGCCACCGGACAAAGACCGCGTGGCCAAAGCGCGAGGAGGTTTCTGTGTCTTCCCAACCTGTCCTGTCTCCATCCTGGAGGGTCCACTGTTTATTCATGCAAAGAGTCAGAGAACTGGAATCACCCAGGATTTTTCACTCTCCTCCCCCCACGCACAGGCAGCCCTGCCCAGCCCATGTACCTCTGCCAGGTCTCCCTCTCCATCCCTGTGCTCTGCCCTCAACAGCCCCTTAGCGCCTCCGCGCTCCCTTCTTTCCTCTCCTTAAAACACAACCTTTCTTCTTAGTGCAAAGGTCGATTTATATTCATCGTAAAACTCTTTTTAGAAAGACAAGTTAAAAAATAAAATAAAAACAAAACAAAAACACCCTGAAACCACCACCTAGAGACCATTGTTAACATCTTGAGGTCTCTTTTCCTAGAGACATGTGAATACATGCCTATATGCTTTGTTAACAAAACAATGACATCAGATACCTACTTTTTGGATGCTGATTTTGTTTTGGTTTTTTCCCACTTAGCAGGAATTGTGACTAAGTATACATCTGCGACATCCTTTGTCATGGATCCGTGGGATTGCTCTGTAGAAACAGGCCATACCATATTTCACCATTCCCTGTTACAGGCGCTGAGACTGTTTTCACCTGTCTCTGTTATTAACGATGCTGTGATGAGGAAATCTGTACGTTTTTAATACATATGCTCCATTTTCTTAAGGCTACATAGCTAGATTTTATTGCTCATTGAAACAATATAGAAATTAAATCACCCAATTGCCTTCTAAAAAGCTGGGCCCACTCATACCCCAGGCACTCATCCGATCTCACCGTTTCTAACCCTCACATGCTGAGTATCATGACTTTTAATATTTTAGCCAATTTCGTGGCTGAAAAATGAGGCCTGCATTGATTACTCCTGACTTGGGACACGTTTCCAAATGTTTATTTCTGCTTTTCTAAATTTTCTGCTCTTGTCGCTCACCAATTTTTCCATTTGGGGTGTTTTTCTTTTCCATCTTTAAAAGTACTTTTATGTATTTTTATTACACAAGCAGTCTATGCCATTTGCCAACTATATGGCTGAATTAGTTACCTACTGCTGCTTGACAAATTATTCCAAAATAAGTAGGTTAAAATAACAAACATTTATTATTGCACACAGTTTCTGACGGTCAGAAATCTGGGAGCAGGTGGTCTGGCTCAAGTCTCTCATGAGGTCACAGTCAAGATGGCGGCCAGGGCTGCAGCCATCTGAAAGTTTGACTAGGATCCCCTTCCAAGATGGCTCGCTCCCATGGCTGTTGGCAGGAGGCCTCCGTTCCTCTCCATGTGGGTCTCTCCAAAAGGCAGCCTGAATATCCTCAGGACACGGTCCTTAACTTCCCCCCAGAGTGAGTGATCCAAGAGAGAGCGAGGAGGAAGACATGGTGCCTATTATAACCTAATCACAAACTGTCACCTCTGCCATATTGTTTTGTTTTATTTTTTAAAATTTTATTGTGGCAAAAATATATACTGTATAACAAAACATTTTCCACTTAACCAAGTAAAACACAGACATTTAACAATTTTTAAGTGTACAATTCAGTGATATTAATTACATTCACCATGTTGTGTAACCATCGCTGCTGTCCATGTCCAAAAGTTTTTCATCACCCCAAATAGAAACTCATTATACCTTAAGCAATAACTCTCCACTCCCCCTACACCTATCCCCTGATAACCAAAAAAACAACCCATTGCTGTCGAGTTGATTCCTACTCATAGCGACCCTATAGGGCAGAGTGAAACTGCCCCATAGTGTTTCCAGGGAGCAGCTGGTGGATTCAAACTGCCAACCTTTTGGTTAGCAGCTGAGCTCTTAACCACTGTGCCACCAGGGTTTCCTATTCCCTGTTAATCACTAATCTTTATTTCTATGCATTTGCCTATTCTAGATATTTCATTTAAGTGGGATTATACCATATTTGTCCCTTTGTCTGCCATATTCTAGTCATTAGAAGCGAGTCTTTGTAAGTCCAGCCCACATTCAAGGCTGTGGAGATGAATTCGGCTCCACCTTTTAGAGGGGGGATGGTTGAAGAATTTGTGGACTTATTTTAAAACTGTCACAATGGTCATACTGTCATTTATAATATCCAGGGAGATCCCGCTTTCCTACATTGTTAAGTAGCTCATTGTCCCCTTTTGTGGTTTGGTGCCATCCTCCCCCAGGAAACTGTGAGCTGCCTGAAGAACTAGGACTATAGTGTCTTGTCCCTAGTGCTAGGCAGAGGGCAGACGTTCAATAAACTCCTGTTTATCCAGACTGAACAGGATAAACCTGGTCATTACTAGATCCTTGCCACCAGTTCCACTATGTGCTCTCTCTGTCCCTGTTCGTCTGTCTCGGACACAGTCTTGGTGTGGTCTCCCTCACGTGACTCAAGAGTTAAGAGAGAAAAGAGAAAACATTTTAATTACTAATTAATTAATTAAAATTAAACTTAAAAATTCAGTTTCTACATGCACTAGCAACATTACGCCTGCTCAATGGCCACATGAGACTACTGGCTACCATGCTGGGCAGGGCATGTGTAGAACACTTCTATCATCACAGAAAGTTCTATTGGTCTAGAAAGAAAACAACCTTTTGATTGTTGGCTCATTTCAGTGGAAGATCAAGCACGATAACTTCATAGTCTCCTGCAAGTTTTCTCCTGATGGTAAATACGTGGTCTCTGCCTTGGATGTGGATTTTGGAATCTGTATAAGGGATGCGGTAAACGCCACCCTGGTGTCACACGTCAAAGGTGAGGCTGCTGCCTGCTCTGTTCTCTTAGCCACAGTCACAGCCACTTGGCATTTGACTGATAATAACTTTGGATTGCTTTATTGATGGAACTGCAGTTGTACCAGGCACACCATTAAGGTTGGGACACTGATTGATAAAAGCCTGAACCGTTTTTCCAAGACTGATTCTCCTCGGTTTCCATTCAGTCTCCTGCTTGTAATGAATGAAGCAATGTTCCTTTCCAACCTCATGTGGCCATTTAAAGTCTAATCTTTTAATGAGTGGAGGCTCATCCTTCTTCACACTTTTACTCGTATATTTAAAATATAAAAATAATACATACTCATTGTATTCCTGGTTGTGGTACTGTACTGTCATTATGCAAGAAGTTACCGTCGGGAGACACCGGGTGAGGGGCATATGGGATCTCTCTGTACTATTCCCACAATCTTCTCAAAATAAAAAGTGAAAAAAAACAAAAACAAAAACAATGACACATAATCATTGTAAAAATATTAGGTAAATATGTGAAGTAAAAAGTGAAAGCTTCTGTCCCTGCCTGTCTACTCCCCAGAGGTACCTGTTATTAACAACACATTGCCGAGCAGCTCTCCTGAACTCTGTGTGCGCGCGCGCACACATGCATGCACGTGTATGTGTGTGTGTTTGTATACATACCTACTATTTCCCACATGTCCCTCATGTTTATTTGATACCAGCATAGAGCCATGATGTGTGTACTGCCCCACGGCGTGCATTTTTCACGTCCTGTATCATCACCTCATGGGCACACTCCAGGTTTCAGCTGCACACCACGCCTCCTCCTGCTCCGTCCGTCCCACCTCCAGGCCTTTGCATGTGCTGTTTCTTCTGCCTACATCCCTCTCTTTTTCCTGCCTCCCTTGCTCACTTTTAGGTCCTTTCCTTGACCCCTCAAGGCTGGACGAGGCTCCTGCTGGCTGGGAGACATGATGTACTGTGCAGTGTTTGAGAGTTGTTGCCTGCCCAAGCACGTCTCCCTGTCAGGCTGGGAGCTCTGCCAGGGTAGGGAGCAGGTCTGCCAGAGTCATTGTTCAAAGCCTGGCACATAGTAGGCACTCAGGAAATGTTTGTGCAAGTGAATAGCCCCTTATGGACACCGAGCTCATGTTTCTGTAATATGGTTGCAGACTGGGGGTGGGGGTGGGGGTGGAGGAGAAGCGCGTAGTGAGCCCTCCGGGCCGTGTGAAGCACGTGGCTCAGGACGTGGAACCTATGACAATGAGTCATTTTCTGTGTGTCTCAGATCTTCACGAAAGGTCCGTAACAGCATGCTGCTTTGACCACGACAGCCAGAAGGTGGCTTCAGTCTCATCGGACAGGACCATCAAGATCTGGGATGTTATGTCCCAGGCCACGGTGCTCAGCATCACAAAGTGAGGAGGGGCCAGGGAGGCTGGGCACCAACCTGCAATGAGGAGGTGGGTGGAATGTCCCCGTTGTGCCCTCCTGGCCTCAGCGTGCATACCTTAACCGCATGCCTTCAGCTTGCAAGCCAGGGTCCACATGGAGCACCTCTGACTTCCTCATGGGTGCTACCAGAAGGCTGGAGACAGGCAAAGGGCAGGAGGCAGGCAGGCGGCGGGAAACCAGCAGCCGTGGCATGTGGGCCAGGATGGATGCCAGATGCATCTGTTTTAATGGGAGCCAAGGCTGGAAAACATCGTGTGGATCTCCTATAAAGATGTGAATTGCCAGCATCTCCTGAAAAATGGGAACATCGGATGACCTGGGGCCTTGCAGGTGGGGCAGTTCTTCTCCAGCAGGCCACAGGCCCCACGAGTCAGGATCCCAGAAGGTGGACACGCCCTGTCACCCTGCCTGACCCACTCAGTTGTGGCCCGGACCAGGCTTTCCCATGGTGGTCTGGCCAGGGGTTAAGAATGTTGAGATTTCCAGGCTGGATTCACCACCTACCAGCTGTGTGACCTTGGACCTGTTTCCTCATCTGCAAACTGAGCATAATGGTGGTGCCTACCTCGTTGGGGGTGGGGTGGAAGGCTGTGATTCAGTGGTAGAATTCTCACTTTCCATGTGGGAGACCTGGGTTCGATTCCCAGCTAATGTACCTCAAGTGCAGCACCAGTGGCTGCTTGCATGTTATTTTGATGCTGAACAAGTTTCAGTGGAGTTTCCAGACTAAGAGCCTAGGAAGAAAGGCCTGGTGATCCACTTCCAAAAAATCAGTCGGTGAAACCCTATGGAGTACAGTGGTCCGATTCCATTGTCCATGGGGTCTCCATGAGTCAGGGGCCAACTCGACTTGACGGCAGCTAATAGCAACAACTTCATGGGGCTGATGTGAGCTCTGAATGAGATAATACACAGGGGTCCTTAGCACAGTGCCGGCCTTAGAACGGTGGGCTCTCAGCATGCGGTCTCTGTAACTGAGAGGGACTTCCATGGAAACGTAGGTGTAGGTCGGGGGAGTTGCTTGGCTGAAGGAGGGGCTGTGAGACACTCCCATCTGCACCACGGAGGGCCCGGTCACTCCTCCTCAGGGCCACTAGGTGGTGGTAGTGAGGGAAGGGGGGCAGCAGAGGTGGGCACAGTTCCGGCCGTGGGCAAGTGTTGCCACCCGCTCCATTCTGTTGCCCTAATGGTGACGGTAATTGACAAGGTAAATAAGAGAAATACCCATAGGTATGTTTGAGTTTTTAATTTTTTTGGATTTTATGTTTGATTTACCTGAATTTGTGATTTTTTTCTAGAAATGTAGCTTTTAGCAAGAAAATACAGTTGCAAGGAATCTCAGTGACACAGGACAGGGCTGGCTTCATGGGGGCGCGGTTTGTGCAGTCGAGCGGGGCCCCACACTCCGAAGGGCCCCACGCCGGGAAGGGCCCCAGGCCCGGAAGAGCCCCACGCTCTGAAGGGCCCCACGCCCATAGGTCACACGACCCGAAGGGCCCCGTGCTTGGCTTAATGCTCAGCTATCGACGTCTTGAAATTCTTGAACATTATTTAACGAGGGACCTTGCATTCTAATTTTGTACTGGGACCTGCAGATTATATAACTGGTCCTGCTAAAGGATTTTGAAAATTCATAATTCTAACTGATTTTTGAAGCTTGCAAGGAGTAAACATAAGCACTTTATTTTTATCATTATTTTGCTTGAACTGTTAACCATAATTTAGAAGAATCAAAGGGGAGAAGGAAAGTCTATTGCACTTTAGCCACGGTTTTCCTTACTGTGTCCCTTCTTCCTCTCTGATGTTCTAAGTTCCCTTCTTTTCTAGCTTCCTGCCTGTTCAGAGAACTTTCTCTAGCCATTCTTCTAGGTTAGGTCTGAAGGTGGCAAATTCTCTTAGTTTTCCTTCATCTGAAAATGTCTTGATTTCCCCTTAATTTCTGGAGGATAATTTTTTTGGCCACAGCAATCTGGGCTGACAGTTCTTTACTTTCAGCACTTGAAAAATGTTCTGTCACTTCCTTCTGGCCTCCACGGTTTCTTTTTTTTTTTTAATTCAAATTGGATTTTATTATCTCAAGGTTCATTTAGCTAGTTAGGTTTGCAAAATCACTTCTGACAGATTTACAAATCACCAGGGGTTATGCTAATCTGATGAGGAGATATTCTCTTAGAATTTGCATCTGTGGGATTTTCTTTTTCTTTTTTTTTAATTGTACTTTAGATGAAGATTTACAAAACAAATAGTTTCTCATTAAACAGTACACATATTGTTTTATGCCAATGGTTAACAACCCCACGGCATGTCAACACTGTCCCTTCTCAACCTTGGGTTCCCTATTACCAGCTTTCCTGTCCCCTCCTGCCTTC